GAGGCTTTGCGAACAGACTCGGCCTGCCCTAATGTTTCTGTTGCTGCGGAGAGTAGAACTGGGCATAACGCTGATCTGCCGCTTTCAGCTGGAAAAGCGGTACGTTCTCGAAACTCAGGTGTGACGGTTTCTACCGGCGAGTGTCCCTGTTGCCGGGAATGACATCCAGGTTGTCTCAGTCTCGGCTTTGGAGGAGTCAGAGCACAATCGGTCAGTCGTGCCATCAGCGAATGCACAAAAAGTCGCCATGAGTAAGTCCATCGTGACACTCAAAGTAAGTCCAAGGTAAATCCAAAGAAAGAGTCGTAGATCCATTTTGTCCACGTCGGTGTTTTTCTCATTCGTGTCATAATCCACAGAAAAATCCACAGCATACAAATCGCAGTATAAATCCAGATCGTCCCACCGCTGCCACCAATTTGTGGTGAGTTCTACCGTGAGAAACGCGGAGAGTTAGATAAACAATCATGTACGTGTCAACTATTGTATTACTGTCGCTCGGACCACTGATCTCTATATAAAGACTGGATAGCGGATATGCATACAACATTCACACAGTAGACTTTGCATATAGACCGCTTGCAGACGCGTTCGATAATCGACGCGCAAAGGCGCGCGACGCCATGTTGTGGGACAGGCGTATATCAATTCACGCACATTTTGTCCCATAACATGGCGTCGCTCACCTTAGCGCGTCAATTATCGAACGCGTCTGCAAGCGGTCTATTGACCAATTCGCCCCGGTCTCACAAAGATGGCCGCGTATAACACGAACGTTCTACGCGTAAATACGCGCGCGTTGTATCAACAGTTGACGCGCATTTCGGTCACGTACACATATTATGATGTTCTAAAAGGGACATATTTCCGTAGTGATTATTACCACGACGTTAGAAAAATTCCAGTTATAAAACCTTGGTCAGTTGGTCAGTAGTGGTGGCCAAAATATAAGTCAAGTGAACCGCGACGTTACAAAAGAAATCATGCTGTCTATAAAGACGGCAACTTGTCCTTTGTAGATCACCAGCCGGTCTCACCAATATGGTGTCAAATTTGTACATTGTGCGGCTCTTTATTAGCTATCCAGTCTTTATATAGAGATCAGTGGCTCGGACACAGGTCCGACCGGTTCAGAATCAGAACAACAACTCAACTAATTCCTGTCTTGTAAACTGTAACTTATTAATGGTGGACCAGATTCCTATACTCAATGTCCTTTTCCTGATTACATTTGTTGCGACATCACTTCCCTCAATCTACTACGTAGACCGTGTGCATTCCACTCGGGTACCCCTGCAACTTTCTGTTCCGATCGCGATCCATGTATCCGTCGCACCCGTCGTACCCATCGTGGCTGCAAGGCTGGCAAACATAGGCGGAGAAAGACCAACAGGTGTATACCTGTTCTTATCGGCAATCGTCCATCTATCTACCAACCTGTTTCCAGTGCACAAAGACTGGAACATAAGCATAGTCGTAAAGACTATCGGCTCTCCACTAATAATATCCCGGTTCCCCTATCCAACACTAGTCCTGTTACACATAGTAGAGTGGCGCTCTGGAATGCACATTCAATGGTGAACAAATCGACAGAAATATGTGACTTCATCATATCCGAAAACCTCGACATTTTGGCTGTCACCGAGGCCTGGCTCAAGGGTGACAGTCGTGATGGTCCTGTATTGGCAGAAATACAACACACCCTCCCAGATTACCGCCTCTTGAAACTTGCACGAAAAGGGAAGTCTGGAGGAGGCATTTGCATCATCCTGCGCACGTACTACAGGACCGCTTCAAAGCCCCACTCCTTCCTAACCTTTGAATGCTTGGAGGTCACTTTTAACTCTCCTGGGCACGACTCACTCACACTTGTAACAATTTACAGGCCACCCAATGCACGAAGAGGTCTCACAACCGCGCAGTTTTTTGCCGAGTTTTCGCAGCTCCTTGAAACTTCCAATCTCCTCACAAGTCATGTAGTAATTTGTGGAGACTTCAACATCCACCTTGATTGTCCAATGCATCCTTTAACTAGAACTATGAATGACCTACTCTCTTCTGCTGGTCTAAAGCAGTTAGTTTCGGAGCAAACCCACACACACGGGCACACACTCGACCTATTAATTGTGTCTGAAAATGAACACTGTGTTGAATGCGTGTATGTTGTACATGCCATGCCATCGGATCACGCGGCTGTTGTCTTCAAAGCTGCCCTGTCACGCCCCGTCACCAAAAAGAACAAAGTTAATTTCCGTAACCTCCGGAGCATTGACTTTACTAGTTTCAAGACCAGCATCGAGGACTCATTTGCTAAAGTCACTCACCTAGACGCTCTAGATCTCGAAGCTAAAACAATTTTCTTCAATAACACACTCAAGACAACCCTTGACCTCCATGCCCCGGTTAGGACGACATATGTCCAACTTCGTCCACATGCTCCGTGGTACGACGAATCCCTTCGGGCACTGAAACGCAAGAAGCGATCGACGGAAAGGAAGTGGATGAAGTCCAAGTTAACTGTTGACAAAGAACTCATGCATCAAACCTCCTCAGAGTATCGCACGGCACTGAAAGTTGCGAAAAAAGGTTACCACCAACAGAAAATCTCCAACAGTAACCAAAGTAATCTATTCCGCATTGTTCGGAGTATGACAGTTGAACAACCTCTACAGGTCCTCCCCTCACATAACTCAGACAGGGATCTCGCCCAACGCTTTATCCATTTCTTTGAAGACAAAGTACGTGGCCTGCGTTTGGCATTTGACGTTGCAATACCTCAACAATCACAAATTAATATCACCGGGGTCAATCACTCCTTTGAAAGTTTTCTCAAGGTCTCAGAAGCAGAGGTCCTAAAGGTCATCAAATCTACAACGATCAAGACCTGCCCCCTCGACCCTGCTCCTGCATATGTCATCAGCAATTGTATTGATGTTCTTCTGCCTGCGATAACTGATATAACAAACCAATCTTTGCAACATGGAATTTTTCCACCAATCCTAAAAACGGCGTTCATCACTCCAATACTAAAAAAATCCTCACTTGATCCAGAGATCTTGAAGAACTACAGGCCTATCTCCAATTTGCCTTTCTTAGGAAAGGTGATAGAGCGTGTAGTCAGTCAGCAACTTATCTCCTACCTCAATAGAAACTCCTTGCTTGCAACATTCCAGTCCGCCTACAGACAACACCATAGTGTCGAAACAGCTGTAGTTCGAGTATACAATGATCTTTTACTCAGCCTGGACATGAAGGACGAAGCAGTTCTTGTTCTTTTGGACCTTACCTCTGCCTTTGACACCGTAGACCAATCAGTCCTGCTTTCCCGTCTGAACCATAGATTTGGACTGAAAGGTACTGCTCTAGACTGGCTTGCCTCATATCTATCGGGAAGACAACAGGGAGTAGCCATAGGAGATGAACGATCCGACTCTATGACACTGAAATGGGGAGTTCCACAGGGGTCTGTGCTGGGCCCACTCTTGTTCGTGTGTTATACAACTCCAATCCAAGATATCATAAAGGCAAGCGGTCTCTCCCACGCCCTGTATGCAGATGATACACAACTGTACATACCCATGAAACCCTCCAACAGACACCAAGCAACACAACAAATCGAGAAGTGTCTTTGTGACATAAGGGCATGGATGACAAGCAACTACCTCGTTTTGAACGACAGTAAAATGGAAGTGCTTCACTTATCATCTTCATACGCCAGAGGGAGCCCAATGATTTCCCCCATAACCTCTGGTGACTTCCACGCTCAACCGACTGAATCAGTTCGCGATCTGGGTGTGATTTTTGATAGCCACCTTAGCATGCGCCCACAGGTCAATGCCGTTTGCCGCAAAGCATCCTTTGCTTTGAGGAGAATTGGTCAAATTCGTCATTGTCTCACCAAACACACAGCAGAGATCCTGGTTCATGCGCTAGTATCATCACTCCTCGACAATTGTAACAGCCTACTAACTGGTCTCCCCGACAAGGATATACAGAAACTGCAACTTATTCAAAACTCTGCTGCCCGCTTAGTCTCTCTCTCTAAGAAACGCCATCATATCACCCCTATACTCAGAGACCTTCATTGGCTCCCAATCCAGCAGCGAATACAATACAAAACACTCCTACTCACGTTCAAGGCCTTGAATGGAAAAGCACCCAGTTACATCTCCGAGCTTCTCCGTCCATACATTCCGTCAAGATCTCTGCGGTCATCTTCTCAAGGCCTCCTCACAACAACCACAGCCAGGACCAAGTCATACGGCTCCAGGGCGTTTTCTCATGCTGCACCCGAGATGTGGAACGCCCTACCATCCTCACTTCGAGCAGTAGACACTCTCGACCAGTTCAAAACCAGCCTAAAATCCCACCTATTCCAACTAGCCTATCCACACACATTGTAGAACATTATGTTTTCAGTCAGCTTGTAACTTTGTATAAATTTGTATCTATGTTTATTGTTAAGCGCATTGAGATTTCTTTCGGTTATGTTATGCGCTCTAGAAGAATGATTTATTATTATTATTATTAACAAAGTGTTTACAATGGAATAAAGAGCCAAACATTCTAATAATAATATTTACGATATAATTCTAGAACTTAAGGTAGCGTGTAGCGTGAAGCGTGGCAAAACAACTTTATGCGCTCCGTCAAAAGAGGGCGCTAGCGCGACCAAAACAAGTTCGCGCTGCTTACATGCGTCTTTGATTTACGCGCAGCAGGAATGCATCGTCTGTGCAGGTGCTCTGCGCTCAAAGCGCGCACGCACAAGTCATCGCTGTGTAAGTAATTCAGAGGATATTTTACCAATAATCAATAAGCAATTAATCAATAATCAATGAGCAATAAAGTCTGTGTAATTTCACAACAATATGATATTGTAGGCCTCCTTTATTTCTTAACTTTTAAGGGAAGCCTAAAAGCCTTCTGTAAAATGATTATAATTAAGAATAAGTCTTGGCAATAGTACCAGCTGTCGGGATTATGCGTGAGGATCATTCCTAATTTGCTCCGGAGCAGTGAACCATTAACCGCATCGATGTTACTAAGGTTGCCATGGTTGCTGCAATAACTCCTAACGACACGAAGACCCATTGGTACTCTCCAGTGAGATCATGAATCCATCCTGTTGAAAAGGGGGAAAAAATATTCAAATGAAAACTCAGCAGAATATCAGTCGTAATGGTTAAAAACTTGTTAAATGGCTTCGTATATTCTGATATGCAAACAATTAAGCCAACAACAATTAAAGGTGATTCCTGTTAATCTATGTCAAAAGGAATATTTTGGAAGAATGCGTTTGACATAGGCATAGCCCTAGTTCCGATATTCCAAGAAGGAAAATATATTTTGTTGTTGTTTGAAGACCTATTTGTCTTAACAATACAACGAAACCCTGGATACCATAAGTGTCGTCGACAATTTTGTTTTGATTTATTACTCACGCGGCAACATTTTTTTTTACTTTGAATTACCATACATTTACTTAAGTATATCAACATAATGATGATTTAACTGATTGTTGTCTTACTTTTGATTATTAAGGACAATATAACGAATGTTAAAAATGATGAATTTTTGATGCAGTTGATAAAGTGCTGTGAGGGGTTTGAACGTGCAGGTCTTCTATACCTGCTAGGGCGCCTCCAAGAAGCATGCCAATACCATGGGTAACAAACAGCCAACCATAGGCCGACATGTGCCGATCACCAGTCACGTCACGCATCAGCACAAACATCAAAGGGTATATAACACCAAACGCGACTCCCGAGACAAAGGCTACGGCAGCTATGGCTATGTAGGACGTAACAACAAGAGGATCTAGCATGTTAGATGCAGCAAAGATCAGACATGAGATGGTGAACAGACTTGTGGCTTTGATGTGACCGCGATCAATCGGGAACCCGTGGCTTATGCGTCCTAGCAGGGATCCAGCGCCACCAAACGTCGCCAGGAATGCCGACGGGGAATCCCCAAAGCCCAGCTCCACTCCTTGGGGAATGAGATACAAATGCCACATCCCGAATAGCATTCCTTCCAGCGTAGATACCACTGAGATAATCACAAACAGCGGTTCCGCAAGTATATGGGCATCAAAGCGCTCGCGCACGTATTTCACTATCTGTCCAAAGTTGAACTTCGCGGAATTACCTTCTTCGTCCTGATCTCGCCCATCAGCCAGACCACCGGACTTGGGTGATGCATTCTCCACAATAGATCGACTAGGTACCAGACTATATTGCGCTGGTAACGAAGATTTATTTCGAGGCCGGAGTAGAGCGCCACACACGACGTAGTTGAAGCTGAAAGCTCCCATCAGGCCTAAAGCGCGCCTCCATCCGTAAACCGACACAAGGTATTCCATTACTGGTGGTAGGACCATCATACCTGTGGTCCCTCCGGCAAGGGAAGCGCCATTTGCAAAGGCGAAGTCGTCTGGAAAATATTCCATAAGTGGTTTTGTAGAGGATACAAAACAGAGAGCCTGGCCGACACCTGTAAGTCAGAACAAAGAAAAACAGCATTTTCGTCCAACTTCTTTCCATTCTTTCAACGGGGGCGCTTTTCCAATCCGACGATCATTAACACTATACATGTATTACAGATTAGTGTACAAATACCCCCGTAACCCAGCTAGCTCTGCCAGTAGGTTGTGCACAGGCATATATAATTACCAGTTTAATTTTGTTGGGTGTCAGAGTGGGGGGGGGGGGCGTTTTTACAAATTTATTTTAAAGAATTTTTCTATTTAAAAAAGGCGGAGGCGATAGCAACATGAGGATAGTCTGACAACTGTAGGTCAGGCAGCCTTTGTGGCTAAAAATAAACATGACGACTTTGATAGATGTTTTTCAAAGCTCGGCTTCGTTTCCGAATTCGCTTCATCACTTATAGCTTTAAATATGACGATCGAATTTTTTATAAATCCCTTGCTTCACATATCATACAGTAATGATATACAGTTCGATATTTCTAAAACATTGACTAATGTTAACTTGGAATTTTCAACAATATGCAACCAAATATTACTGTTAGAGACCACACCGGGTTTTGGAGAATCCCAGCATTACGGTCGTCAAATTCAAAATATTACATGGCGCAGGAAAGTTCGCCCCTCGTGTACGATTAGAGTGTAAACTTCATGCATACTTGATGCACAAAATCGTTGTTGAATTTTATGTTTTATAAATGCAAGCAATGAATGTCAATTATCAACTCATTTCTTAAAGCTTTTAACAAGCCTGACGATCACTTGACGTGTGTTTGAATGAATTACTAGCGGATAAAAAGGGTCAACTTAATTCTTTTGCCGATTTGAGGTTATTACATTTCGTATAATTTATAGCCCAGCTTGCATGACATAATAACTATAGCTATGCATTCCCGTACGCAGTAGTTAATTCTGTATTGTCTCCATGTATAGGCATATATATGTACATGTGCGAAAGCGTCTTCGCCACTGGAGTGCACAACAGCGCCCTCTTGTGACTGACTGTTATAATTGCCAAATCCTTGTCGAATCACGTTTCCAGATAATGCTTAGTCCGTAAAATCCTTGTTAATGACTCCAAATCATCATTTGCCTTTATAATCCAATCACCAGGTTAATTATAAATACCCCCTGTGCGTGAATTACTGAAAGTGAGTATAATTTGGTTAATCTTCATACGATATTTGGAGGGATTTCACTTCACGTTTATCATGTTTATTGTTAGATTTGGGTTGTAATGTTCATTGTACTGATTTATATTGGAATCACATGCCATGTCATACCTACACACATTTGCATGGGGTTAATTCTTCGCTGGGGATATTTAGGGACCCTTTTGTAAATCCAGTGTTAATTTATAAGTGTTTTGGCCCTTACCTCCATATATTTGGGTTTATGTAAACATGTTGTGTATATTGCTGGGCTGATTATAGTGACATACGTTTATGTTGTTAATGTTTATGATATGATTAGGATTTCCTAGGCATGTGCACGTATTTATTAGTTCCCTTTGTGTTTATTTCTTCTTGTAGGACCACAGACTACACAGACCTCACAGACCACACAGGCTTATACATGTACTAGGACCAGACCAGGCCAAGTACCCATTTAAAATAAAACCAATCTCAGCCCATCACCGGTGTGACCGCCTCCTTCTTTTCATGGTGCCGAAACCCGGGATCCTACAACCAGTGACCCTTGGATCACCATTTCAACCTCCAGAATGTCTCAACCACAAGATGACGTTCTCGGTCAACCGACCAATTGCCATACAGGTGATGTGGCTATGGCCAACAGCGAACACTCCTCCCATCGCAGCAACCGGTCTAATAGTTCCGTCGCTTCCCACCTATCTGGTCTGAGTGACAAATACGCAGCAAAGATGCGGACCCTTCGAAAGAAGATTCGAGTTGAGGAGTTGCAGCACCAGTTAGAGGAAGAAGAGGCTGCAGACCAAGCACTCCATCGTATTGATGACCAAACTCGACAAGCTCGACTCAAGGCTGAAGAAATAGAGCGTCAGGCTTTGAGAGAGCGTGAAGCCATATCTACAAATTTGTCACGTCAACGCAGATTGCGTCATGCTCAACAGGAGCTAGTCGAAGCTGAAGCCATCAGCGCCATGATCAGTGATGATACAACACTGACAGATGTCACCATTACTACGACAAGCCAGGGTACAATCCCCGTGTGTACTTCTGCACAACCTGTGCCCTCTACATCTCCCGTAGAGAACCGTACCGTACCAGATACATCTCTTCGAGCCATCCCAAGTCTTACAACCTTTGCAGTGTCAAAGATTCCTTCGATGACAACACTAGTCAGTGGCCACCCCACACCATTGTGTGCTGATGGACATGCACCCATGACAACCAGTCACATGTCACCACACTCAGCACATCAAGCTCAACCTGTTCCCACCGGTTCCCCTCCGATGGTACCCGGTGCAACAGCCATTGACCTCCTTGTAGCTTCGTCCTATGGAATTCCCAAGCCGGCTCTGCCAAGATTCTCCAATGGAAGAGAGAAGGAATTTGCCTTACTCCGCATGGCCTTGGACAACCTTATCAACGTCCATCCACACCTCACAGAACAATACAAGTTCCAGGTGATGCTCGACCGACTTGGTGGTAGAGCATTGAAACTTGCCAAGTCCTTCATGTACACTCGTCAGCCCTACACTGAGGTCCTAGCTGCTCTTACCGACAAGTACGGCCAACCCCGACAGCTCGTCCAGTGCGAGATCGCAGCCATAATGGCCACCCCTGCCATCAAGTATGGTGATACTGAAGCATTTGAGGAGTTCTCCCTGGATGTCCTCTCCCTTGTGGGGATGCTACAATCCCTGGAAGGTCCTGACGGCATTGAACTCCGTTGTGGCTCGCACGTCGACCGTCTTCTCAGCAAGGTTGCCCCCAGCCACAGGACGAGTTTCATGGAGCACTGCCTGAAGGAGGGCATCTTGAAGTCGAACTGTAGTCAAACCTACACCCTACCCCAGTTTGCAAGTTGGCTCCGTAGGAAATCTCAGTCACACAGCTTTGCCAGTAGAGCAGTGTCCGGGCATACTTTGAGTAACCCAAGACCGCAGCGATACCAGGAGCAGCGAATATCCAGGAAGGATACCCCAACAGCAGTACTCATGACAGTACCAAAGCCGAAGTACAAACCCCAGCCTTATTGTCCCTTTTGTGATAATAAGGAACACTACCTGGGTGGATGTCCACAACTCAAGAAGCTGAACACTGATCAGATCGTCAGTTGGATCCAGGACAAGGGACGATGTTGGAAGTGCGGTCGTGCACATAAGCCCGATGAGTGTACCCTCAAGAAGCCATGTCACACCTGCAAACAAGTACACTTAACTGTACTTCATGATGCCGCTCACAAGACTACCAGTCATGTCTTCAGAGTGCAGACATCAAGTCTGAATGTCTATGTTGACAGGCCAATCCGTCCGCATGGTGTGATGTTAAAGGTTGTGCCAGTTCTCCTTCATGGCCCCGCTGGCACCATTGAGACATATGCTATCCTGGACGACGGTTCTGAGAGAAGTATGCTAATCCAGACAGCAGCCGAGAAGTTACAGCTTAAAGGCCAGCCAGAGACGGTCCTCCTTAGAACTGTCCGTGATGACATAGTCGAATGCCAAGGTTCGGCTATGTCTCTGCAGGTGTCACCCAAGGGAAAGCCCCACATCAAGTACACCATCAATGGAGCCTTCTCTGCCACCAATCTGTGTCTCTCGGTGTACACATATCCAGTAAAGGCTCTCCAGCAGCGGTATAACCATCTCCGTCACCTGCCGCTACCAGTGATTAACCAGGCATCACCGATGTTACTCCTTGGAGCTGACCAAACAGATCTTATCATCCCCCAATGCCCAATAAGATCTGGACCCCGTGGTGCAGCAGTTGCTATCTACACAAGGCTTGGCTGGACCCTCCAAGGACCCACTTGGAATCATGATCTACAGCTGGAGCAACGAGTCTTCAAGACATCCACATTCCCGGTTACAAATGACCTCCTGCAGCATGTGCAGATGTTATGGCAGGCAGATGTGCTCCCTTACGCCAATGATAAGGAAGTCACCCGATCCAAACAAGACCAGTATGCTCTTAAGATGCTGGGGTCTAAAACCACCCGTGTCAGCCTTGATGGTGTGCAACGTTATGCCACGCCCCTCCTGAGAACCAAGGATGGAGACAGATTCCAGGTAACGAAAGATGCAGTTCTTCCTACACTAAGGAGAGCAGAGAAGCGGCTACAGAAGCACCCACAACTGGCGAAAAAGCACAACGAGCTTATCACAAAGCTGGTCGACTCAGGTCATGTGCCAGTTCTACCCGATGATGAAGCCGCAATGTCTGATGAATCTTGGTTCATTCCTCACCACACTGTTCATCACAATGGGAAGTACCGACTGGTCTTCAATTGTTCTTTTCAGTACAATAACCAAGTGCTCAACCAGCATCTCCTTCCCGGACCACAACTGGGTGCTTCCCTCATCGGCGTGCTTCTACGTTTCCGGCAGCACGCCATAGCCATCTCCGGAGACATCAAAGCGATGTTCCACCAGGTGCGACTTCTACCAGAAGATAGGCCCCTCTTTCGCTTTCTGTGGCGAAACCTGAAGGTGGAAGCAGAACCACAGATACACGAATGGCAGGTCCTCCCTTTCGGCTCCACATGTAGTCCGTGCTGTGCGACCTTCGCACTCAGGAAGCATGCCAGCGACCACAAGGAGCAGTATCCTGAAGTAGCAGAATCAGTCGACAAGTCCTTCTACGTCGACAACTGCTTGGACAGCTTACCCTCATCCAGAGAAGCCAAGCACCTGGTCCATCAGATGCGAAACCTACTGGCCGATGCCGGGTTCGAGATACGTCAGTGGGCCAGTAACGACCCTACGGTAGTTGAGGATCTCCCACCAGATGCTCGGTCCAATGGCTGTGAACTTTGGTTGACCTACGGTGACACTGACTCCCTTGAGGCCACCCTTGGACTGCAGTGGGATTGCAGCACAGACAACCTGCAGTACCGCCACCGAACAGTCGACTAAGAGTCCCTTAACATGAGGAACATGTACAAAATATTGGCAAGCCAGTATGATCCCATCGGCTATCTCACTCTGTTCACTACCCGAGCCAGAGTGATCGTCCAAGACTTGTGGAAAACCAAGTGCAACTGGGACGACGTTCTAGAGCCTGGTGCCATCAGAGACCAATGGCAGGCCTGGGAAATGGAGCTACCAGCACTGACCGACATCCAGTTGGATAGATGCTACACACCTTTAGCGGTAGATGTTAAGCCATCAAGCTACCAACTCCACATCTTCTGCGATGCATCAGAGAGAGCTTATGGTGCTGTAGCCTACCTTCGAGCAGAAGATAAACACCATCATATCCATGTCAGCTTCGTCATGGCCAGGTCCCGGGTTGCCCCCAAACGACAGCTATCCATGCCACGCTTGGAGCTATCGGCTGCCTTGGCTGGTGCTCAGCTGTGCCAGCTACTCAAGAGAGAGTTGAGTTTACCTGTAAAGTATGTTGTCCTTTGGAGCGACTCGACAACTGTCCTCACCTGGCTGAAGTCTGAATCCTGTCGCTATAAGGTCTTCGTCGGCACTCGAGTCGCGGAGATCCAAACCCTCACTGAAGTCAAACAGTGGCGCTACGTCAATACCAAGAACAATCCGGCTGATGACCTCACCAGAGGCAAGACCCTGATGGAGCTTGCCCAAGAGTCCAGATGGCGAGACGGACCCCCATTCCTCTTGTCACCTCCTGACCAGTGGCCTGTCCACCCGGCCACACCACCAGAAGATGTTTCTGAGTACAAGAAGTCAACCTTCTGTGGTGCCGTGGCTGTGGATCCTGAAGATCCTCCCGACCTTTCCAAATGTGACACGTGGGAAGACCTCATCATGGCTACCAAGGAGCATCGTGATGGGGCGGCCGACACTGGTGACCCACCTGAGTTGGGTGCTGAAGATCGAGCCAACATCGAGCTGCTACTGTACCGCCGTGCTCAGCAAGGAAGTTTTCCTGATGACTTAGCTGCTCTTCAGGCTGGAAGGGATCTTCCTCGAGATAGCAAGCTCCTCCAGTTAGCTCCAGAGTATGATGATTTCACTGGTCTCATCCATGTTGGTGGGCGTCTACGGCAAGCGGAAGACATCCCCAAAGATTCCCGTCATCCCATCGTCATGGATCCAGCACATCCTATTACCAAACTTCTGATCCGAGAATATGATGAGAAACTACTTCACTACGGGCCTGAGCGTGTGCTTGCAGAGATGAGACGTAAGTTTTGGGTTCTGCGAGGACGAGAGGCCATTCGCAAGCATCAGCGCAAATGCTTTGGATGTCAACGATGGCAAGCCAATCCTGATGTACCAAAGATGGGAGATTTGCCACCAGCACGCCTGCGACTGTACAAGCCGCCATTCTTTTCCACCGGCGTTGACTGTTTTGGGCCAATGACAATCAAGACAGGGAGACGCACCGAGAAGCGCTGGGGCATTATCTTTAAATGTACGACTACCAGAGCGGTGCACCTTGACCTGCTAGAAAGTCTCAGTGCTGACGCCTACCTGATGGCCTTTAGACGGTTTGTGTCCAGAAGAGGGAAGCCCTTCGAGATACTGTCCGACTGTGGTACCAACTTTAAGGGCGGAGCTTCAGAGTTACATAAGGCATTCTCTGCCATGGAACCCAGACTGAAAGAAGAGCTCTCCAAACAACAAGTCAAGTTTGTCTTCAACCCACCGAAGGCCCACACTTTGGTGGCGTGTGGGAGAGGGAGATAAAGTCTGTCAAAGCTGGCCTGAGAGTCGTCCTCAGTCAGGCTGTACCAGAACCAGTCCTGCGCACCGTTCTGATAGAAATTGAGGGTATTCTTAATTACAAACTGCTGGGTTATGTTTCTTCAGACATCGCCGACCTAGATCCAGTTACCCCGAACCTCCTCTTGATGGGACGACATGATGCAGCGCTGCCACAAGTTGTCTACCCAGCAAGGGACCTACTCAGCCGACGACACTGGAAACACAGCCAGGTGTGAGCAGATCACTTTTGGTCGCGCTTCATCGGGCTGTACCTACCCTCTCTGCAGATACGACAGAAGTGGCAACGAGACGGTGCAGAGATGAAGCCTGATGATGTTGTCATGATCGTTGATCCTGCACTTAGCCGGGCTCAGTGGCCCATCGGACGAGTCGTCGACACCTTTCCTGGACCAGATGGTCGTGTGCGCACTGCCAGCGTGAGAGTGAGGAAGAAGAACTACACTCGCCCTGTCGCCCGCCTGATACGACTCCCAGAAGTCACCGATGAAGGTGTCAAGGATGACCAGGAAAACGACAAAGATCCAGCCCTAATGGACTCTGAGTGAGAACTGTAGTGGCTCCGATGCTTTCTATTCCATAAATTTTAGTGCCCAAATTTAGGGGCGGCTGTGCGAAAGCGTCTTCGCCACTGGAGTGCACAACAGCGCCCTCTTGTGACTGACTGTTATAATTGCCAAATCCTTGTCGAATCACGTTTCCAGATAATGCTTAGTCCGTAAAATCCTTGTTAATGACTCCAAATCATCATTTGCCTTTATAATCCAATCACCAGGTTAATTATAAATACCCCCTGTGCGTGAATTACTGAAAGTGAGTATAATTTGGTTAATCTTCATACGATATTTGGAGGGATTTCACTTCACGTTTATCATGTTTATTGTTAGATTTGGGTTGTAATGTTCATTGTACTGATTTATATTGGAATCACATGCCATGTCATACCTACACACATTTGCATGGGGTTAATTCTTCGCTGGGGATATTTAGGGACCCTTTTGTAAATCCAGTGTTAATTTATAAGTGTTTTGGCCCTTACCTCCATATATTTGGGTTTATGTAAACATGTTGTGTATATTGCTGGGCTGATTATAGTGACATACGTTTATGTTGTTAATGTTTATGATATGATTAGGATTTCCTAGGCATGTGCACGTATTTATTAGTTCCCTTTGTGTTTATTTCTTCTTGTAGGACCACAGACTACACAGACCTCACAGACCACACAGGCTTATACATGTACTAGGACCAGACCAGGCCAAGTACCCATTTAAAATAAAACCAATCTCAGCCCATCACCGGTGTGACCGCCTCCTTCTTTTCAGTACATATACATGTAATTTTGCATTACAGCCTATACATAACATGTGTTGTCCTGTCCTGTCCTGTCCTGTCCTGTCCTGTCCTGTCCTGTCCTGTCCTGTCCTGTCCTGTCCTGTCCTGTCCTGTCTTGTCCTGTCTTGTCTTGTCTTGTCTTGTACGCATAATAAATTGTACGTCAGTCTGGTATTAAGCTTTTGTTGCTCATACTTGCTAATACGAAACATACGGCGATTTGGTTCGACGACACAGAGAATGAAGCAGCACACATAGACACGGCAGCCACGAATCCTCCACTAATGGATAGTTGCCGAGGGGTAAATGCCTTCAACAAAGCACCGGCAAGTGGTCCTGAAAGACGTAACAAAATGCGGTTATATCAAGCCGCACAACAAAAAGAATTCTCTGAAAGTTTGATAATAAAAAAAAATGGTGGCTAGAATAAAAAATGGAGACAGGCGACCCGACCCTTTTCTTATGTTTGACTTACCAACTAAGATGTAACCAGCGTCGATCAATGAGGTACTGATCACCCCTACAGCCACTGAACTGGCCGAAAGGTAGGTCATAAAGTAAGGCAAGAATACCCCGAGTGCCTTGAAACCTCCCAAAACGATGAAGCTCAAGACGAAACGCGACACTAGGACCATCCATCGCAAGGGGTGGGGTCGGCTTGAGATAGTCATGCTGTCATGGGTTCGGCATGTGTCGATGAACTGCGTTGATAAAAAAAAGAGAAGACAACAATGCTAAGTGAGCAGTAGCACACTTAATGAGTTAACTGACATAGAACTGCTGCCTGTATGTAAACCGGGTCAAACACTCTGCCGCATGCGTAAGTTTTCCTTGCCGATTTCAGATGGTGCTACAGTTCTCTACAAAATGGCGCCAAGACTCTCGCATCAAATGTGAAGAAATAAGCTGGAATCGCACCCAAAACAGCAGAGTTTTCCCGCTTTGAAATCCCCTTTCAACAAAAGCTTTAAAGGTAGAGTATATCATTTGCAGCTATTCAAACAATATCTGACGAAATTATTGTTGAAATGCTAACTTGGTTTAATGATAGTAACAGTACAAAAATGCCTGTGAAATTACACCTTCTGGCATGTTGTCATTTTGAAGAAAACAAACAATAGGGTGATTTTCAAAGATGCCCTTGAAGACACATTTTTTTGGAAATTAACGTTAGTAGTTCGTTAATTCGGCGAAACTGTGAATGGGCGCGCGCAAGCGTTGACGCGACGCAACGCGACAGGTGGGCGATTGCTATAATTTGTCTGTTCAGTGCGTGACAACGCGTAGTTACAATCGGCTACATGAGAACGTGTCCCGGATGCTGATTTCGGGCGCAATTCATAACGTGACCCAGCAACTTTTGAATTGAAATCGAGATCCTATAGATCTATTTTTTGCGGAATATACATTCACAGACAGGCCATCGGGTTAGCTGTTAAGAACCCTCCTATAAATTTCGAGCACTTTGGTTGTTTCAAACGAAAACTATGCACAATGCAGAAATCGATATATTTACCTTTAATGTTCATCGGCTGTACCAGCTGTCGACCAGTAGTCGCTTAGTTGCACCTTTGTTATAACAAGTTAAATCGTTTCATGCAGTAGTCTGAAGCATAAAGTCGGAAAACTAATGGCACAATCTACAAATAACTATATATAGGCGTTGATATGGCATCCTGCGAATTCTGAAATGAGTGGAACGGCAGAATTAGGCCCTCCCCTTCGTTGAAACAATACCACGGATCATAATGACATCATCAGTGTACACTTCAACGGTGATATAATTACAAGGGGCCTTATTTGTTATGCCTGAGAAACCGTTTCATTGCTTTACCATCAGCTTGACCCACACGTGCGTGACGGATATCTCATTCCACACGTAAGCGGAAAACAAGCCATATTTTGTACAGTTAGGAGAATTGAGCACTAAAACATTTAGCAAAAATAATTCTTCTCTCGATAAACGTCAAATAATCATGGTCAATTCACATAACTGAACATTCCTTACAGTTGTAAAACTTCACGCATATATTTGAACATCGCACACATATTTCTGAAATATTGAATTTTGAAACGTTTGACACCACAGATGTAGTATCCTTGCATGGAAGCTATGTATATTATTACTATTAGGCACCTAGTGCTCTGAAACCACACACCCAAACCCAGACATTACCTCATCCACATTGGAATGCATGAACCCCAACTTACTAAATGAATAATGAATAAGGCCCCAACTTGGATCAGATTGCACCCTAGAACAATGTACACTGTAAAAAATTTGCCCGTAATTTTACGGTAAAAGCACTGTCAAACGGGTTGCCAACAAAAGACCGTAAAATTACGGTCAGTTACGGGTTTCCAAAAATGACGGTGACCGTAATTTTAACGCGAATTTCCCGTAAATTTGACGGCAATTTGCCGTAAAGTAATGGAATACAAAGTGGGTGGCGTCAAAGCTGAGTGTAGGGGTATAGGGCGGGGGGGAAGGTTCCAGTTGCAGCAGCTGGGAGTGGGGTATGCATACGTCTTGCAGCTTGTCTTTTACACGCATAGTGGTTTTCAAATCACTTAATGTGAAATTATCTTTAAGTTGTAACATAACTTGCATCTGTAAGTTGTAATTTTCATTTACAACTTTTTACCGATCCCACAGAAAAGGGTCAACCTATTGCTGGTCAACACCGCAGGATTAGCTGTTCGTGAGTGCACACGAATCACAGCTTTAAAAACTAGGCGGTTATGAGGGTTTGAAAGGGGAGGGGTTTTGAAAAGTTACGAATACAAAGCATTGTGAATCCCAGCATGCGTCAGGGCACCAAGTTTTACGGGAAATGCACGTAGCACGTTCTTTCTTGTGACGATACGAGCAATAACGGTAATAAACCGTAAAAAGTACGGGAAATTGACAGTGTTTTTCCGGTTTCTGTTTACAGTGTAGCCCTTTGATAAGCACAGAACCTCATGTGATGGACTGAGATGTACTGGGACACAATAAACCAAGCAAGCATCAAAGCAACAACTGCTATCCATGTGCTAGTGACAAGCTCATTACATTACATTGGCGACGAGGATTCAGGAACAAAATTGGGGGATATATCAACATATTAACTTCCCAAGATGGCACGATGCACCAAAGCTGCACCAGACCACCTCTAGACGTGGCAGATCACAACCTTGCCGTAAATATTCTCGGCATCGCGGATCAGAGCATCCCGCAAAAACGCCTACTACAAGATCCAGTCATGACCCTCGTGATCATCCGAGCAACAGCAACTGCTTCAAGCCACTTCGCAAAAATCTACCGGAGTACGGAACAGCAGACGGGCACCAAACATGTCCAACGCCATAATCAGCAATGACCCACCAAGCTCTCCGGATAGCAACTCCGAAGATGAAAACGTGTTCTAAATCGAACATGATTCAACCAACCACAAGAGTGTTATCAACAACACCAAAGAACAAACAAGCGTGTTAACAACAACACCAAAGAACAAACAAGCGTGTTAACAACGACACCAAAGAACAAATAAGCGTGTTAACAACGACACCGAAGAACAAGCGAGCGTGTTAACAACCACACCAAAGAACAAACAAGCGTGTTAATCATGTGACAGATTGAACAAAAG